CCCCGTCTGTCCTTTGGCATGAGGAGGTCCATGGCTACTGGACGGGCTGAAGCTTCTGGACTGGAGCTCCAAAGTGGAGGATCCATGTCCCAAGTTCTCCCCCTCTTAGCACTTCCTTGTCTCTATGGAGAAGTGGGGTGCAAGGGGGGGAGAAAGCCTAGAAAAGGTGGAGATTCATCTGGCCGTTCGCCTGCTCAAGCTGATTTTAGGTAGAAATAAGTTATTGGTAAAGCTGTTACTTTTGCTCTGAACACACGTGCAGCAAAGGGCTGTTGCGACTATCGAAGGGAATGAAGCATGAAAGACTAATTTCCAGCCCTAGTGGGGATCATGAATTCACAGAAAAGTCTTTAGCTGTTCTTTGAAGAGGCCAACCTGCTTTTCCGATAACTTGATCAGTATTTTTCATTAGAATGGTCGAAAATAATTTCTTTTTTTTTTTTTTTTTTTTTTTTTAAATACTATTGGTTCAGAATAGAATTGCTGAAGACCAGTTTGCTCTGCTCTTTGTGGAAAGAAAGGCTTACCACAGTCTCCCACCGAGGCAGCCTCCACGGTAGTACTGGAGGCAGAGACAGCATTTGTCAGGAGTTGAATAGATAAATAAAGCAAGTGAACTTGCTTCTTGTATGCAAAATAAAATGCAAAGTAAGACACTCAAAACTCATTAATGTATCTGCAGACAGTAAAAGCTTATTAAGCATTTCACAGAAAAGATAGCTGAAGTGGAGCAGCAGCAGTTAGTACAAGTAGGATCTGTCTGAAAGACATCTTTTTTAGGTAGAAATCCCCGGGTTGATGGGACCCGTGGAACACTGCTGAAGAGGAGTGAGTTTTAACTGTGATTATGTTCCATCTATTCTTTTACAGATAATGAGAAAATGCCTGGGTTCCCAAATGGCAAAATTGTATCTTGTGGCTAAAATAAACTTAGATAAGCTAACCGAGGAATTACAGCGTGTGAAGGGGCTGGCTGCTGTTTTGTCTGGTTAATTTTAGGGATTTTATTTTTTTTTTTAGTGGATACCAGTAACACGATAATGAACTTGATCTGCCTGTAAGAACCTTGGCTGCTAGTTGTGCTTTCCCATAGATGACATGGAGAAAATCAAACCTATTGGAAACTCTCTTCACCAGAAACCATAAACTAGACAGAAAAAAAGACAGTAAACCCTCAGAAATGCCCTCAGGTTGGCACCTGGCTTCCCAGGCCGTGTTACTGGTGTGTTTTGTGTGTCACTGGTACTCAGCCTTTAGGGATGGGAAGGAGTGCTGTGTGTCTGAGGGGTTGTTCCTGTCACCCTCAACAGGCCTCTGCGCTTCATCACGCTCCGAAAATTAACAAGAAGAGGTAAACTTAGAAGCTAAGCATACTCATGGAATCGATAATATATTCAATCTCTATCTGCGTATAAGACACAGGTTGTAAAAGCAGATCCAGCTTGTTCAGATTTGCTCAGTTAGAAAATTAAGTGACATCAAGCCTAACCTTTTTAAATATGAAAATTACCAAAATAGCATTCTTATTACTTGCTAACATCTTACCTCAGACTGTCCATTTTTATAAGCTAAGCAGCACATGGTTAATTCTTGCCTGGGAAAGTGCCAAAGAAGATTTAAATACGAAAGGAAGTGTTGCTCGTTCAGTAAGTAGGATTCCCTTACTAATTTATTATTAGCAGTACATAACTATCTCATCACACTTTGGAAGAACCTTAGGATGGCCTTCATTTTAGACTGCCTCAAGTCTTGGTGTTTTCTGGGCAATTGTATACGCTGCAGAGTAGCATTTGTGAGTTTTTAGTTATTTGTTATTATTAGTTTCGACATCTGGTCCAAATTCTGACGGGGGTTCAGGGAGGCATCTCTGGTGTTAGATGCCCAGTAGAGTACAGGCATATTTGCCTGTCCAGTCCTGAAAATCTGCCTCTTCTTATTTTTTTCTACATGTCTAACTCGGGTGTTTTGTCAGTTTTAACTTCGTTGTACTGCATGAAAACTGGGTGTGAAATGATGCTATTTCAAAAGTGGTTTGGTGTGGCTAATAATGCCATGAGCAAGCAAACGGCTCACAGTAACTTTTTCAAAGTAAGACAAGTCCAGTGAAAAGCCTCAGATGCATATTTTCCATATAAAATTAATTAGGTCAAGAAACAGGGACCCAGAAGTCATGCAGTGATTTGTGCTCAATCTTAACTCTGCCCTCCATCTCCCTCTTCAAAAATTCTCTTGGAAGCCACTTCTTTCTTGCTGGCACTTCTCTCTCTTACTCTCTCCCCTGTTTAATTCCCTCCCTCTCTCCTAGGTTTTTGCTGTGTTGTGTTTAGGCATTAAGGAATTTTGTCCTGCTGTTGGAGTTTATCTTGTTATTAGAGTTTATATGTCGCTATCAACCTCTTTCACACCATGTGCCCAACATATATGTACCCTCTTTTCATGTGTTCCAGTACATGACATACATGTTCCTTATCAAGTAACTGTGTACTCACCACGCACCCAGAAGTGCTTGCTCATCTCCCGTGGGCTGGTGGTGGGGAATCAGCTGAGTAATACTGGAAAAATCAACGTTCTTTGTGGCCCATTTGCTGCACGCTTTTGCGATTCCCTGGAGAAAAGCAATAGAAATGATTTTGCTGAGCTGGACCAGTGCCCCAGTAGGTCATGGTACTGCCCATGAGGATGATACCGGACTCTAAGGTATTTTTAAAAAAGCACAACCTTAAAGACCTGAAGTTGTTTAGAAACTCTAGTGTTTCTGGCTTGTTCTTTCCCCTCTCCTGGTTACATATAACCCACTTTTAAAACCTGACATCTTAGTTCTCTTACCAGTATATCTGATTTCTACTTACAAGCACAAAAATTCCTTCTGCTTTTTCCTACCACAAACCTTTTTTGCAATGATCTCTTGTAAAATATGATGGTAATACCATTTAACTGTTTCTTAGGTAAATGGAATGTACTGAGACTTGCTCTGTGCACCTCAGCCCCTCTTCCAATAAGGGAGAGTGCTTGACCAGCTGCAAGGTCAACGCTGGAGTTTCCTGCGCTTGGTTCTGTAGCCCTGCTCGCGTCACCGTGGGGTGACTGTACAGCTTTTATGGCACTAGAACAATTAGGCTGCATTTTTACCCTGACCAGCTTCTAAACTATTCAAAATATCACAAGCTAAGCACAACAAAATTACAGACCATATTTCAAGGCATACACACAAGGCAGTAGAAAGTTCAATTTTAATTTTATGAGTTCCGATTCTGAGTGTACCAGCCATTACTGTTTGCATGAATTGCCTTTTGATTTATGAAAGAAATGATAAACTGGCTCTTCCAGATTATGTCGCTTAATCTGGAAGTTTGCCTGCAGAGTTTGGTTCGGAGCTAATCCATCTGAGTACCTAACTTTAACCAAGTCTTTCACTCTAATGAGCCTCTCGTAAATGTACTTCCTTTGTATTATTCTTCTTAGTTTCTGTGAATTCTCTCTCCCTATCTTGTTTTGGTAAGCAGTATCAGGGAATGTTAGTAGGGAAAAAAAAGTGTCCTCTTGTGTAAACCCCATGGGAAAGGACTAGGTCTGTCCTTGTGTCCTGTAAAATAGAAAGTGCTGTTAATGTAAGGTATCAAGCAACTCCAATATAAAAGCGTGGGATAAATTATCAAGGAATGTTTTGCTTCCTTGGGGAAAGAGGAGTGATGGGACTTATAAAGAAAGAGCATGCTGTTTAACGAGGTGGTCACAGATTTTTTGGGGGATCACGATGTGGCAAGGGTTCCCGTGTGGTGGGGCCAGGTGTGCTGGCACTTGGGGCTGTGGGGCAGGTGGTGCCTTCTGGCACGGTGGGAGGAAGGGGAATGAAATCATGGAATCATAGAACCGTTATGGTTGGAAAAGACCTTTAAGGTCATCAAGTCCAACCCACTACTAACCCATGTCCCTCAACACTGACAAAGCTACCACTAACCCACGTCCCTCAGTACCACGTCTGCCTGGCTTTTAAATACCTCCAGGAATGGCAACTCCACCACTGCCCTGGGCAGCCTCTTCCAATGCCTGATAACCCTTTTTGTGAAGAAATTGTTCCCAATATCCATCCTAAACCTCCCCTGGCACAACTTGAGGCCATTTCCTCTTGTCCCATCCCTGTTCCTTGGGAGAAGAGACCGACCCCCCCTGGCTACCCCCTCCTTTCAGGGAGTTGGAGAGAGCCAGGTCTCCCCTCAGCCTCCTTTTCTCCAGGCTGAACCCCCCCAGCTCCCTCAGCCTCTCCTCACAAGACTTGTGCTCCAGACCCCTCACCAGCTCCGTTGCGCTTCTCTGGACTCGCTCCAGCCCCTCAATGTCTTCCTTGTCATGAGGGGCCCAAAACTGATGGCAGCCCTCAAGGTGGGGCCTCCCCAGTGATGGCTATGGGGGGACGGTCACTCCCCAGTCCTGCTGGCCACACTGCCTCTGACACAGGCCAGGCCGCCTGGGCACACAGCTGGCTCATATCCATACTTTATGAAGACTGCAGGGCAAGTTCAGTATTAAATGCAGCCCCCGTGTGATGTGTAGAGGGGCTGTAAGCCTCTCCATAAGCCCTTGGAGATCAACAATGCTGTAAGGGGGCTCACCACAAGAGACAAGGCATGGAGGCTTCTGCTGAGCAGCCATGAACGTCTGTGTCGTTGTCTTCTCCTGCACCATGGCGATGGGTGAGCGCTTATTGGTTAAGCCAGGGAGAGAGAGGAACTCAAACATATAGATTTAATCCCGGTACGAGGTCAGGCAAACACGATTTCTAATGGTGTTAAATTTCCTGAGGGTACGTGGACTATAAATCTACCTTGAGCTACTTAAGCTTCCTGGTTATGGTGATCACGGGGGTTTGCATGACCAGTTATAAGAACAAACAAGCTCAAAAGAAGATTGTTTAAAATTCAATTTATCATTGTTCATATTGAGAATGGGGCTTAAAAACAGCTTTGGAATACTTTTGTGACTCTTCTTTCTACTCAAATTAATCTTCCAGAGTGAAACCAAACAAGGCAATTTCAATCCGGAAAGAATTTTGCTGTGAAAGTGGTAAGTAATTTTAAAAAGGGGACTAAATTGAACTTATAACTCTAATTTAGCAATAAATATAATTAAATTCTGAGTACAGCTGTAATTGTTCCTCTGTTAATTAAACTAGGTATTTTATAAATGCCGCAGAAAATCATTTCTTAGTACTTAGAGACTCAAGCCAAATCAGAGCTGGAATGAAGGACGCCTTTCATTAAAACATAATATTTTAAGTTGTAGGATGAACTGTGACTGAAGGAGAAAAAGATATCAATATATCAAAAATATATCAAATACTTAATGTCAAGAGCAGATAAGTGCTGGAAGAAAATAGTTCACATTAGATGAAGAGGAACAGCACAGGCTTATCGGCAGGGACAGAAAAACCTCAGACATCAGATTAGAAAGCTGAATACTAAAAGAGGAAAGTAAACAAATACCCCCCCAAAAAAAATTACAACTTCATGAATTCTCTGAAAGCAAAGAAAAATATCAAATGCTGAAATATCCCTTTCAATGTTTCATCACCAATTCTTGTGAATCTTACCTGGTTTCATTGCAATACGCTTCTTTTCCAAGCTTATAAGGCAATAAAATATCATATACAACATAAAATACTGGCATTTCTATGTAAAAAAAGCCCAAAGAAATCAGAGTGTTTTTGAAGGCCTACTGGATAAAAACTTAATAAGCAAACTTTCTCATATAAAAGCGTTGGAGGGGTTTGTGTGTGGTTACCTGGTTTCATTGCAATACGCTTCTTTTCCAAGCTTATAAGGCAATAAAATATCATATACAACATAAAATACTGGCATTTCTATGTAAAAAAAGCCCAAAGAAATCAGAGTGTTTTTGAAGGCCTACTGGATAAAAACTTAATAAGCAAACTTTCTCATATAAAAGCATTGGAGGGGTTTGTGTGTGGTTTTTTAAAAAACATTACTTAAAGGATACTTAAAGGATACATACTTACCTGTGTTGCCAGAGTTAAATTCACCCACTGTTTTCCGTTTTAAGATGTTGTACTCCTTTTTGATTTCCATTCTAATATTTTTCTATGTTTTATTTGGTTGGAGTCAGTTTTTCTGTGCTTACCATATTCTTCAGTCTGAATTACAGTGGTGAATTTCAGCAAACACTGCTTTTCAGAATAATATTATGAGAAAACGGTAAAATCAGATACTATTTTTTTCTTTTTTAAACATCTATGGAAACAGAAATAAGGGAAAAGTCAGAAGAGGCAACTGTGATAAAAGATGAGGTCCTCAGAAACATGCATTTCTTTTGCCACAGGTGTTTTAAATTAGACACCTAAATTGATGAAAACTAATGGATTTTATCATTAATTTCATGTTCTCACTTCCCCTCTGTAATTAGCATGAGTCAGTTTTTCTGTGCTTACCATATTCACG